ATCTCCAATTATTCTTGTTCACAATAATGTCTTATTAATTGCATCGAATCCTGGGGCATTATACAGTAAGACCTCCTTAGTGAAATCCACATTATGAAAGAGATTGGTATAGCCTAGAATTCAGGGGTGGGAAACCTGCAGTCTCAAGGCCACATGTGGCCCTCTAGGCCCTCAAGTGCAGCCCTTTGAATCCAAACTTGTTCTCTGAGGTTTGGATTCAATCAAAGGGCTGCACTTGAGGACCTAGAGGGCCACATGTGGCCTCAAGACCACAGGTTCCCCACCCCTGGTCCTAGATTGAAAACTTATTGAGGTCAGGGACCATGTCTTCAGGATCTCCCACAGGGTTTCAAAGGTTTGAGCACAACCATGTCTTGAAACTTCATCAGGACTTTAAAGCCTGTATTTGTCCTGAGCAAGTTCTAGAAGTCCTGACCCAGAGTGAAGGTTAGTGCATGCTAAAGTATACTCTAAGGGGCAGCTAGGTGATGCAGTGGATAGAGCATTGGCCCTGGGTTCAGGAGGACCTGAGTTCAACTCCAACTTCAGACACATAACACTAGCTTTGTGACCCTGGGCAAGTCACTTAACTCCATTGCCTAACCAAATAAAAAACAAAACAAAACAAAGTATACTCTAAAGGGAGGGAAGGCTTGGAGAAAATCAGGGAGGATGAAAAGTAAATGAAACCCAGACCTTTGAAAGAGGAGAGAACTCAACTTGCATGTACTGGAGGCCCTGAAGAAAGTAGTGTCTTGTTGGCAGATTCCAGAGTAAGCATCATTCCACCTTCCTTCCCATTGTTCTCAAGAAGCTCAAAGCACTTGACAGACATCTCCTGCAAACTCCTAATTGCTAAAAGAAGGAGGGGTGTTTTCCTTTGCTTCTACTTTACATTTGTTAAAACACGACTGTAGAAGAGACTCCAGATCCTCTAGCTGGAAAAAAAGAACTTGAGTTCATTTCCATCCAGACAGTGGAACAGTAGAAATGAGCCCTGGACTGGTCTCTGATTCCAGCTCTGACTTCTGACTCAGCACCACATAACCCTAACACAAATCACCAAGTCTCTTTGAGTCTCCCCAGAATCACAGAATTTTTGGGTTGGAAGGGACCAACCCATATCTAACAGCCTCTACTTGAAGACCTCCAACAACAGGATCCAGAAGGAATCTCTCCCCTTCTGAACAGCTCTAATGTTTGGAAGATTCTTCTGATGTTCAACCTAAATGCTTTTTTTCAGCTTCCACCCCTAGCTCCTACCTCTGCCTTCTGACACCAAATAAAACAAGTCTAATCTCTCAAAGTGGCAACTCTTCAAATAACTCGGTTGTTAAGGTCTCCCTGAGTCTCCTTCAGGCTGTTCCTTCCATCAGCTTTCATATGATATGGACTTGGGGCCCGTCACCATCCTGGTTACCCTCCTCTGGACTTGTTTCAACTTACCAACTGTTCTGCCCAGGACTGAACCCTACTTTCGATGTGGTCTTGACCAGGGTGAGTACAAAGGGACTATCATCTCTTTATTCCTGGAAGTTACTGAACTAACTTTTTTGGCTGCCATATCTCATTATTGGCCCGTTGAGCTTGTGGTCCACTAAAGCCCTTAGATAGATCTTTTTCAGAAAAATTTTTATCTGGCCATGCCAACAGCAGGCTGTACTTGTGAAGTTGAATTTTTGAACTGGTATACAGTTTTACATTCATCCTAGTGAATTCCCTCTTACTAGATTCAGCCCAATGTTCTAGTCTTTTGAATCCTGATTCTATTGGCCAGTGTGTCATCTATCTCTTGTACCTTGGTATCATCAGTGAATTTGACGAGCATGTCATCCAAGTCATTTTTTAACTGTTAAATGGGGCAGGTCTAAGCAAAGGTCCAGTAGGTCCTTAACTGGTGTCCCCCTGCCAAGTTGACTTTGTACCTTTAATGACTATTCTTTGAGTCCATTCATTCAGTCAATTCCAAATCCATCCAATTTAGCATCCTCCAGTCCATCAATCAACAAAGATTTATTACATGTTTACTACGTGTCAGGCACTGTGCTAGGTGCTGAACATACAAAGAAAACCAGTCCCTGCCCTCACAAAGGTTAAATTTTAACAGGGGAGACAATGTGTAGGTAAGTAGGTATATACAAGACATAGATTTGATGGAATAATCTTAGAAGGGAAGGCACCAACAGCTGGGAGGCCTGGGAAAAGACTCCTGCAGAAGGTGACATTTAAGTTGAGTCTTGAAGGAAACCACAGATTGTAAAGGGAGAGCATTCCAGGCAGGAATGGTAGCCAATGCAGAGAAAGAGACGGGATGAGCGTCACGTATTAGGAGTAACAAGTGGGTCAGTATGGCTGGATGGTAGAGTACATGAAGAGAAAGAATATGTGAGAAGACTGGAAAGACAGAAAGGAATTAAGTTGTGAAGAGTTTTAAATGCTAAGCAGGAATTGATATTTGATCCTAGAGGTAATAGGGAGCCACTGGAATTTATTGAGTAAGGGAGGTGATAAGCACAGATGTACACTTTAATAAAATATTTTTAGTACATGTGTAGAGGGTGAACTGGAATAGGGAAGAGACTTGAAGCAGTGGGACCAATTAGAAGACTACTGCAATAGTCCATGGGCTGTTGGGAGCAGAGAAAGTAAACAGCCTAAAATTTTCCATCCCTGTGCCAAACCGTTGCCATGACTTCCCCTTCCTTGGATGATCCATCATTGGGTAGAAATTTGGTGATGAGGGCCTAAAATAAGGTGGTAACCATATGAGCAGAGTGAAGATGACATCACCAGAGGTGTTGTGAAGATAGAAAACAAACTTTGGATATGTGGGGTGAACAGTGAGGAGATAAGGATGCACTGAGATTGAACCTGAGTGACATGGTACCATCTAGAGAAACAGCCAAGGTTGAGTCTTGGTGAAAATGAGTTCTGTTTTGGACATATGTCTACATTACTCCACCTTTTCCATAGAATAGTATACCTTATCAAATTCCTTACTAAAAATCTGAAGAACTTATGTCTACGGTATTCCCCTGGTCTACCAGTTTTAGTAGCTCCATCAGAGAAGGAAATAAGAGTAGTCAAACCAAGGTGGCCCTTTGTATTCATGACTGCCTTTTCTATGGGTTCTTCCTCTGTTTCTATGACTTATAACCTCCCCAGGAATCTGTCAAGCTAATTTTAGACTAATTTCTTTCCTCTTTTTGACAACCACGGCACATATCTTTCTCCATTCCTGGAGGTCCCCTGTTCCCCAATCTTTCAAGCATTGCTGACAGTGTCTTGGCAGCTTCCCCCCCCCCCCCATTCCCAGGTCACAGTTCATCCGGGTAAGGTGACACCATGAGTTTGGACTGACTGCTCCTCCAACTCAAACAACATTCTCCGATTCTGTTGTGGGCAGCTAAGTGGGAAGTGGATAGAGTACAAGACTTACGGGTTACAATAGCCGAGTTCAAATCCTGCCTTAGACACTTATTTGGCTGTGACGCTGGGAAAGTTACTTAACCCGTCTGTGTCAGTTTCCTCATTTGCAAAATGGGGATGATAAGAGCACCCGGATCAAATAAGTTATGCGCAGGGATTTGGAGACGTTGGTGCGTTACATAAATGCAAGCCGTTATTAGTAATGATTGATATTATTAGGATTCTCAGGGGAAAGGTCGGGGAGGGGAGGGTCCAGGCGAGGCCGGAGCCAGCCCACCCCACGCCAGGTGCAGCGCGCGGCCCACCCGCAGCTGAGCCACGCGGAGGCCCCGGATCAGAGCCCGTCGCTGCCTCTAGACTGCCCCCTCTAGGGCGCGGGGGGCATGTGACCCAATGGCAGACTTCCCGGGAGGATTACATGAGGTCACCACCGCGCCGGGAGCCGTGATGCTGAATCACTCCACTCCGGCCCCGCACGCCTATTGGCTGCTCCGCCCTGGTTCTACGGGCGGGGATCCTCCCTCCTCCCCCCTCCTCCAGTGCTAGGGAACCAAACTTTGCCAGGAAAAAAAAAAGTCTAGGATCGCGCCCGCTCATTGGCTGATCCAGCCGTGGCCCCGCCCTCACCACACGTGGTTCGACTGAGCCTGGCTCCGGGCGTCCGGGACGGCTTTTGCTGGTTTTAGGTGTGGGAGGTTTCCTTGAAACAAACACCTTTCTCCTTCCCCCATCTTCAGTACGTGGGATTCCTATATTTACCACGATAAACTAACTTGCCCAGATGGATAGCTTACTTGCTGTTCCTTAAACTCTACGTTCAGTTTCTTCCCCCTCCCCCATGCCAGGAATTAATTGCCTTCTCTCCTTCATCCCTGACCTTGGACTGCAGTGATCTACAGAGGCACCCCTTCTCTAAGAAACCTTTCCTGATCCCCCTGCACCTAGTGCCGGATTTCCCCGAAACCACCTTGAATTCATTAAGCCCCAACTAAAATCCCACCTTCTCTGGGAAGCCTTCCCCAAAAACCTCTTCAGTTCCAGTGATTTCCCTCTTTAATTATTTCCTATTTATCCTGTATATAGCTTGCTCTGTTGGTATGTTGTCTCTTCCCTTAGATTGTAAGCTCCTTTAGGGCAGGGACAGTCTTTTTGCTTCTTTTTGTATCCCCATCTCTTAGCACCATGCCTGGCACAGAACAGGTGCTTAATAAATGGTTTATTAAATCGACATATTCTACATGTAAACATATACCTACATGCTGTCTGCCTGGGTTAGAATCTCTAAACTAAGATTCCCCAGTATCCATAACAAAACGTCGGGCACATCGTAGGCACTTAATAAGTGCTTGTTATTGAAAGCCCTCCCCGTTTATTGAAAGCCCTTCCCATTTCCAAAGCACTCAAGTCTCCTTAGTTTCCCAAATCTCTATTATGCCCACTTTACAGATAAGGAAACAATCCCTGAGAGAAAAGTGACCAAGGTCAAATAGCAACCTTGTGGTTCTCACCTCTAGCTCATATATCTTTAATGCTATGGGGCCCCCCTCTACTGGTCCCTGGTTTGCACTCACCTCTTCTTTCTCACTCCTGGCTTGGAGGGAATAGGTACTTAACTGGGTCCTGCTCGGGAGAAGAGTTATTATGGCAGGGTCTCTGGAACACCAAACATGTCCTTGGTTGCCCACAGCTAAGGAAGGTTTGGAACTTCTTACTCTGAGTCTGCATTCCCCACTTCTAGATGCTAGGGCCTCCTCATCTCTGCTCGCTTCTTCCCAGGCTCTCTTCTCTTATTCTCTCCTCTCCTCCCCTTTCCCTTTCTCCTTTCCTCTCCACCTCTTCTCTCCTGTCCTCCCTGATCTCCCTTCTCCCCTTCTCTTCTCTCTTGTCCTTCCTTCTCTCCCTGTCCACTCTTCTCCTCTTCTCTTCTCTCCTGTCTTCCCTTCTCTCCCTGTCCACTCTTCTCTTCTGTCTTCCCTTCTCTCCTTGTCCTCCCTTCTCCTCTTCTCTTCTCTCTTGTCCTTCCTTCTCTCCTGTCCTCTCTTCCCTTCTTCTCTTCTCCCCTCTCTTCTGTTTAGGCTGCCAGTTAACTAGCCCTAGACCCTTGTACTTTGGATGTTTCCCAGATTTTAGGGGACATGGTGTGGGGGGGTGGGGCTCTTAAGAGCTTCAACCTCACAAATATTCAACCAGAGGATGGGAAATAGGACATTACATCAGCCCTGATCTGGGCTGGGATCTCTCTAAAGGATTTCAAAGTCTCTGCAAATCAGAGTACTTTCTATTGCCATCTCAGGGGGTGAGAAAGCTGCTAAAAGACCCAAAAGCCTGAGAAGAAGGATGACCTTTGAAAAATTTACATGGAGAAATCTTGTCTTCTGTTACTTTTCCTCCCTCTCAATTGGGGACCTCCTCATGCTCCACTCTGGTGCCCAACACCCCCAGATTATTTCTATCTGGAAAAGGTCTGACATACCATAGGCTCACTCTGCTCCTCCTTCAAAGGGTGTCTGCCTGTTGATGTATACCTACTCAAAGAGTCCCATGGCATTACTGGAGGGAGATATTTAGTTGGTGAAGAGATCCTTCCCTGCGCTCCTCAAATAACACCTGTGTGTAAGGTGGCTCTTGGCTTAATAAAACGGGTGGTCTTCAAACAGAACTACAAACCCTGCCACACTTTCCAATTCCATGGCTGTTTCCAGGGAGAGTTATAGAGGGGAATACTTCTGAGATTTTAATCTTCCTACTTTTTTCTTCTCCAAAGACACTCCTTCACTGACAACACTGTAATCCAGTCATCAGCTGTTTTAAAGTATAATACTACGTTGTTCAGCCATTTCAATTGGGTCTGACTCTTTGTGACCCACATTTGGGCATTTCTTGGTAGAGCTACTGGAGCGGTTTGCCATTTTCTTCTCCAACTCATCTTAAAGATGAAGAAACTGAAGCAAACAGGGTGAAGTGACTTGCCCGGGGTCATACAGCTAGTAAGTGTCTAAAGTCAAATTTGAACTTGGGACTTCAGGCTGGTACTCTATCCACTGGCCATCTAGCTGCCCTTATTTTAAAGTATAACACTTCTTATACAAGGAGGGATTTGAAGAAGACAGTTCATATTCAAAACTTCAAAATTACAATCACATTATTTGATTAGCTTCCTGTTGTTATTCCCCTTCCAATGAAAACACTTTTCCTTTGGCTCCAGCCAATGGGGTCAACTGTCCTTTCTTGCCTTTTTTTTTTTTTTTGGTGAGGCAATCGGGGTTAAGTGACCTGCCCAGGGTCACACAGCTAGTAAGTATCAAGTATCTGAGGCCTGATTTGGGCTCAGGTCCTCCTGACTCCAAGGTTGGAGCTATATCCACTGTGCCACCTAGCTGCCCCTCAACTGCCTTTTCTTGCCTGTTCACCCTACTGTCTCTCCCAGGCCTCTGCTGGTTTCCTCTCAGATCTTCACATCTCTGGAGTAGCAAGGTCCATAGCTCAATCAATAAGCATTTATTAAGAGCCTACTGTGTACCAAGACCTGTTCTAGGCACTGGGGATTCAATGCCAAAGCAAGACAGTGGGCCCTTCATGACCGCTGCCTTGACCTCCATTAGAAACAGCTCTTTTCGTCGTTATCTTAACCCTGACAAGGCTGGAATCTCCAAGAATACGCAAACACATTCTCTGACTAGCCTTTCTTCTAAGTGTATAGCACCCTGAAGATAGGCCTTCTATCTCAACTGGCAAATCCCAGTTGTTGTTGTCATTGTTCTTGTTCACTTTTCTGAACCTCCCATGGTAACTAATGAGCCCATTGGACTGGATGTTAGCTAAGACTCCTTTCAGTACTAAGATTCTATTCAAAATCCAAGTTTTCTTCACAACTAAACACTTAGCATCTCTTGCCCATCTGGATGAAACGACTGGTTTAATGTTATCAATTTATTTTGTTACCACCATTGCCATACCCATATGGTGTTCTACTCTGATTTTGAGGGAGGGAATATTTTGCTATAGCTGGTCAGATGGGATTACCATCATAGCCCTTTTGAATTGGCAGCCAAGACAAATTGGAATTTGGCTCTAAGATCAACAACATCTCAGAACCAAGGGAATACATGCTAACAGCAAAGAGGGATATGAACCAGCATTTTGGGCATTTAATTGTCTTTTGGGAGGTAAAAGGGTGACTGTATATTATCTGCTTTAATTTTTTTTCTGTAACAAACACTAAAAAAAAAGAATATTTTCATATACAAAGTAGAACAGGAACAGAATACATGTAAAAACATGAATCTATTGCATACAGTCCACTCTTTTAAAAATATGTATACTAAATTCAACACGTTATTTTCAAAACTGTCCTTCTTATCTGTTTCCTTCTGAACTTCTGTCTATTCTCTTCTGTGCATTTTTAAAACTGCTTCAATAATCCTCTTTCTTTTCTTTTTTAGAAATATTATTACCAGATCCTGTTCCCCCTACCTAAATCCCTCCTCTCAAAAAAAAAGAAAAAGAAAACACAATCTTTGTAACAAGTAAGCATGTGACTACATGTTTTCAAATACATGTTCCATGTTCCCTTCTCTAAGAGGCAATTCTTATTTTTTCAATAGGCTTGAGAGAGGCAATTGTCTTTAACAATAAGCACAGGTTCTGCTCATTTCACTTTGCATCAGTTCACGTAGGTATTCCCAGGTTTTCTGACAGCATCCTGTTCATCATTTTGTTTCTTTTTTTTCTTTCTTTCTTTCTTTCTTTCTTTCTTTCTTTCTTTCTTTCTTTCTTTCTTTCTTTCTTTCTTTCTTTCTTTCTTTCTTTCTCTCTCTCTCTCTCTCTCTCTTTCTTTCTTTCTTTCTTTCTCTCTTTCTTTCTTTCTCTCTTTCTTTCTTTCTCTCTTTCTTTCATCATGGTTAAGTGACTTGCCCAGCATCACACAGGTAGTAAGTGTCAAGTGTCTGAAGCCAGATTTGAATTCAGGTCTTCCTGACTCCGGGGCCAGTGCTCTATCCACTGTGCCACCTAGCCACCCCTCTATCATTTCTTATAGCACAATAGTATTCCATCACAAGGACAGCTAGGTCACAAAGAAGATAGAATAACAGGCCTGCAGTCAGGAAGACCAGAATTCAAATACTTACTGCCTGGGTGATTGTGAGCAAGTTTGTGTCATGCTGTTTACCCCTACTTCCTCATCTATAAAATAAGTTTGAGAAGGAAATGGCAAACCATGCTGGTATATTTGTTAAGAAAACCCCATATGGGGTCAGTCACACAAAGCTGAAACAACTGAACGATACCACAATCCATCACAATCATATACCACAACTTGTTCAGCCATTCCCCAACTATGAACAACAGCTATTCTCAGCAACATGATAATCTGAAACAATTCTGAAGGACTTATGACGTAAAACACTACCCACCACCAGTGAAAGGACTGACGGCATCTCAATGCACATTGAAGCGATTGAAGTGTACGTTTTTCTTTCTTTCTTTGTCTTGGTTTTTTGATTTGTGTTTTCTTGTGCAACATGACTAAAACAGAAATGTTTTCCATGACTATACATATATAATCTATATCAAATTACTTGCCTTCTCAAGGAGGGAGGGAGAGAATTTGAAACTCAAAATTTTTATTTTTTTATTTTTAGGTAATTGGGGTTAAGTGACTTGCCCAGGGTCACACAGCTAGTAAGTGTCAAGTGTTTGGTCTGAGGCCGGATTTGAACTCATATCCTCCTGACTTCAGGGCCAGTGCTCTATCCACTGCACCATCTATCCACCCCGAAACTCAAAATTAAAAAAAAAATGTTGAAAATTTTTGCTTATATGTAATTGAGAATAAAATAAAATAAAATAAATTTGAAAAGACTAAGCACCATGTGTGCTTAGTGTGTGAAGGGTGACTGTCAGTAGACCTGGGTTCTATAGTGACTTCCTGAGACCCTCTCCTTGCCTTGGCTACTTTGTCAAATAAATGGAAATAATACTCCCTATCTCTCTCAGAAGGTTGCAGCGAGGACAAGGGATAATAGATATTGAATGAAGGTGCTTTGAAACAATAAACTCATGTATTACTGTATAGAAATCTGTGAACCAGATGGGAGCTTGGGCCACCATTGATGTATATCTCCTTTCTTTGGCCCAACGGGGATGAAAAATGCAATGTGTACTTATAACTCCTTGTTTGATGAAAACCAGATTATGGATTACGCCTTTCAACTCTTCCAGATCTACTCTTTCCCCTGACTGGGAGTGAAGTGAGTAAAAAGAACTCACCCATCTCTGGGGCTCAAGCTTTTCAATTAAATCACTGAAGATTTTTTTTCTATAAGGTTGAAGCCATGCAGACAAATGCTTCAAGACTTGCCCCCCAGTAACTACTGATTATCAACCCAGCTCTGGATCCTGAAAGAAGGGAGGCCAGACCTTGATTCCATTTACCACAATCCAAATATCAACAAAGTATTTATTGGGTGACTGTATTCCGTACATCCTGCACTGTTTTCTATGAGGATAGAAATGAAATGGTGATACAAATGAAACAGAAGATAAAATCCCTGCCCTCGAGAAACTTGCTAGTTAAGAAGACATACACCCAGTAAAATGATACTTTATCAATACTTGAAAAGATCTATGATTTCTTTTGTGTGCAACACAGACTCCACTCCATGGAACCAGAGGCAGATGTTGTAATCCCTCTGCACCTTTCATTAGATGCAGAAGAAAAAAAAAATCCTTGACTTGGTGGCCAACCTTCTGGTGTTGACCCTCTCCAAATTTGGCTAGGCTGGTCTGTGGATCCCCTATCACCAAGGCCTAATTTGATAAT